TAGAAATAGGGGTAGGTTGGAGAAGAAAAGTACAAAACGCGTACTTTGCACTGTACAGAAGTTCGAAACGAGGATTCCACTATTCTGCTCTCTTGAACTCATAATCCAGTCCCTTCCTGATGAAATGGATCACTGTTCATTCATTGATTGTAGTTCCCCACATTGCGTACAACATGCCAAAATACATGTGATTTCAGTACTTCACGGAAAGGGTTAAGAAAAGTACACCACCGGGAAAGAAAAGTACAACGAAAAGAATTGCGATTCCGAACCAGAAGACCGCTATAGCGGCTCAATATTGGCTCAATACAGGTTTACCCCTAAAGGGGAGAGCTTTCACTTGCCATTAGTTAAGTTTCGTCAAAATCGGTCAATTGGTTGTTCTGATCCTACATAGGCTCATTATAGGAGCAAGGGGCCTTTCCTCAGAGATAAGTGGGTACAGCATTTTTGTACTTTTCTTCCCCTTCTTACGTAAATGCCCAATAACTTGTTCATTTCGAGTCTAATTCCATAACACGTGTTGACATTTGTTGCTTGTCTACTATTTCCTTGATCAATTTCATGTTCATCCCGCTTTAAGGGGGCTCATACATGTTAAAAGCACTTCGAAATTTTTTTTTTGATGTAGATGGATTAAGATTTAACAATTTCTGTGTTAAAATACATTTAGATAATTGAGTAAGCTTCATTTTGGCTTAAAGGAAAGTGACTTTGGACATTTTTTGGAGATTTAGTCGAAACGTTTAAAATTTTGGTTCTCGTAAGATTTTGTTCGCATACTTGCTCAGATCTGTGGGGAAAAAATCAGGGAGACTCATCGCTAGTAGTGTCATAGAATTGACTACAATGGGCTTTATATCTGCAATAGTTTTCAAGAAAAAAAATAATAACAATTTTTTGTTAAAAAATTTGTTTTAAAAATTCACTACGAGCCACTTTGCATTTTCGAGGAGGGACATTCCATGTGAAGTCAACCAGGCCTTAGCCACCATGGGCTCCGATCCGGTTCTCGTTTTCAGGGTTTGTTACCCCTATGGTCCCATGAAATAATCGGTACTTGGTTTGGGGTCCGGCCCCCCAGGGGCTGGGCTATGGCCAATTTACTTTTTTGCTAAATATAGGAACAACGCAACTTTGGAGGGCAATATCTCAGCAACCATTGGTCGTAGGTCAAATCCGAGACCAGATTTGGAAAGAGGATGAAAAACTGAATCTTTTTTGTCTTTGAAGTTTTTACGTCCAAAAACTTTTTATAACTTTAAAACTTTAGTGAAGTTTTCAAATTAGCGCCATTTCCTAGATCCTCAACCGATTTTGACCAATCTGGGCTTAAAAGATAGCTTAAACCCTTCCCTAAACGAAAATGTTAACCAAAAAATGTGTTCGGCTTCGTTCCTGAGAACGAGCTATTTTCGTGAACCCCTGCAACCACGTATTTCACCAAATTGTAGTGACGGCCGCACTCGATACCACACTGGACGCTCTCTCAGGTGTTTTCGGCTCAAAGCAAGTTTCCGGGTTGCTTTTCTAAGGTTAGGGGACCCAAGCGCCTGTCAGGTAGGCCAACAAGCAGCAGACCTGCAACGCACTAGTGACGACAGGGTGGCCTACACAAATCAAACGTGTGCTTAGTACACAGCTGTGGGAGTATGCTTGGAAGCATACATCTATGGGAGTGTGCTTGTCAGGCATACATCTATAGATGTGTACTTGGGCAAGCATGCATCTACAGATGTGTTCTTGGGCAAGCATGCACCTATAGCTGTGTACTTGGGCAAGCATGCATCTATGGCTGTGTGCTTTTAAATGGGTGAGATGAATGCATGCTTCTCCAAGTAAACAGCTACAGATGCATGCTTGCCCAAGTACACATCTATAGATGTATGCTTGTCAAGCACACTTCTATAGATTAATCTGAAAGCATACCATAGTCAATAACATTGAAGATAGAGCCAAAGAAGATACTTTTATTAAGCTATAGTTAAAGGAGATACTTTTCTTTATGCTTTCCTGCAGACTTGACAGCACGCTTAAACGGCATTTTGCCATTAATCTGAAGGCATACCAATAAGATACTCTCCTTGGCCAGCTAAATAAAAGTATCTTCTTTAACACTACTAACCTCTATTTTTAATGTCATTGACTATGGTTTGCCTTCAGATTAATTCCAAAATGCCGTTGACGCGTGCTGTCAAATCTGCTGGGACTGACAAAGAAAACTCAAACATGTATTTTTACCCAATTGCTGACTGAAACGCCTGAAACATCCCTTACCCTGGCGTGCAACAATAACTAACAACAACACCCACCCCCACGTGTAGATATCACGGCGAGGTGGCGGAGTGCTGTACTGGTCCGATCGCCCAGAGCGCGCTGCCTGTCCTACTCTTCAGGGGCAAAGTACACTGCAAGATCATATGTGTGCTTAGTACACAGCTGTGGGAGTATACTTGGAAGCACACAGCTACAGGAGTATGCTTGGGTAAGCATCTATAGAAGTGTGCTTGACAAGCATACATCTATTGATGTGTACTTGGGCAAGCATGCATCTGCAGCTGTGTACTTGGAGAAGCATGCATTCATCTCACCCATTTAAAAGCACACAGCCATAGATGCATGCTTGCCCAAGTACACATCTATAGATGTATGCCTGACAAGCACACTCCCATAGATGTATGCTTCCAAGCATACTCCCACAGCTGTGTACTAAGCACACGTTTGATTTGTGTAGGCCACCCTGTCGTCACTAGTGCGTTGCAGGTCTGCTGCTTGTTGGCCTACCTGACAGGCGCTTGGGTCCCCTAACCTTAGAAAAGCAACCCGGAAACTTGCTTTGAGCCGAAAACACCTGAGAGAGCGTCCAGTGTGGTATCGAGTGCGGCCGTCACTACAATTTGGTGAAATACGTGGTTGCAGGGGTTCACGAAAATAGCTCGTTCTCAGGAACGAAGCCGAACACATTTTTTGGTTAACATTTTCGTTTAGGGAAGGGTTTAAGCTATCTTTTAAGCCCAGATTGGTCAAAATCGGTTGAGGATCTAGGAAATGGCGCTAATTTGAAAACTTCACTAAAGTTTTAAAGTTATAAAAAGTTTTTGGACGTAAAAACTTCAAAGACAAAAAAGATTCAGTTTTTCATCCTCTTTCCAAATCTGGTCTCGGATTTGACCTACGACCAATGGTTGCTGAGATATTGCCCTCCAAAGTTGCGTTGTTCCTATATTTAGCAAAAAAGTAAATTGGCCATAGCCCAGCCCCTGGGGGGCCGGACCCCAAACCAAGTACCGATTATTTCATGGGACCATAGGGGTAACAAACCCTGAAAACGAGAACCGGATCGGAGCCCATGGTGGCTAAGGCCTGGTTGACTTCACATGGAATGTCCCAGGAGGCCTCCGCATGACCACTGTCAGAAATTTCCATAAAACAAGAAAATCATTTAATAACAGGAAAAGTAGCGATATACATCGGCAACTTTGGCCCGTCGCGTACATTTAGGAATGTGTTAATTTCGCTTATTTTTAGTCCTAACGGAGCTTGAACCTGAGTCTGGGGTCAAAGGAAGGTGTTATTTTCGTCATCGGCACCCTCAGAAACAATGCAAAAACTCGAATAAAAAGAATGTTAAAAATGTACCCCACTGGGATTTGAACTCTGTTTCAAACTTCCCCGATTTGTTTGAAACTAGCACCGTTGGTTTTGTCTCGTCACCCCGGTTCCAAAAATACCCTTACATGCCCTTCTAGCTGTATCCGTTGCCGAAATATTCCGCGACCCCATGTAGAATGCACCTGCAGCAGCGCCCCCGGGGCTCGGATCGGATTTGCTGCCACCGGGCGGTTCTAAGGATCACCCAAGGAGGCTGCATACCAAAATTGGTGAAGATCGGACCGCCGGAAGTCCTCGGACGAACGGACCCGTCCCTCCGTCATTAAAAAAAAAAAAAAAAAAAAAAAAAAAATACACGGGATGGGCCAAAAACAATGAAAAGTTCTGGAGTATTCTTGAAACTCCTGGAGCTCTCCATAAAAGCGAATTCCAGATTTTCTCCGAAAAGTTTCGGAAACTGAACAGAAAATGCATGCTTTACAATAACGATATGAGAATGAAAGGCCCTTACAAAATCTCTCTCTCTCTCAAAAAAGAAAAAAGGAAATTAAACGGAGTCTCCATGGACATGATTCCAGAGTTTGCCTCCATAAAATTCCGGAGCGAAATTTCTAACAGTGTGTGACAGTTGAGTGAAATACCCAGTTGAAGTAGTTATGCGAAACACTATCAAAGGGAACGTGGCGAGTTTCACGTGAGAACAAAGTGTGCCACCTCAGTCGACAAAACCATTGACAAGTTGCATCTCGTTGCATCCTCTTAGAATGACTTCCCAAACGGTTTTTCAGATTCGCGAACAGCAAGGGGTAGAATCCACGTTCCTTGGCTTTACATAAGTCGCCATCCACTGCGCAGCACATTGATATGGGCTTTATTAGTCCAGGGAACTGTACTTTGGTCAACGTACAGGTAAGACGGAGAATTGCCTCGTAGGGTCAGGGCGGGGAAGAAGAACTGGACACCCCACATTCTACTTCAAATGCCGTATGTACTGGCCTGACAACTGTCGTGTAATGAACCGCTGATGCCACGGAACAACTTTTGATAGTTGTTATTCCTGTGCCTACGGTATTTGAAGTAAAATAAGGGGTGTCCAGTTCTTCCCCGCCCTGACCCTGTCATGAAGCAAGATTCTTCGTAATACGAAGAATCTCTTTATAAAACGAAGCAAATCTGCAATGCCTTTACAGCAAGAGCTTCGTGGATATTTTTGAGTGCAAATTTACTCACATAAAACATTTGAAGCCCCTTTTCGACAGTTTTATCCAAGCGGGTGGTTGCAGTGACAAAGTGGTATTTTCAGGGTTCTCGCTGATATTTCGAGGGCACTAAAAAGTAGCGAATTGGACCGCCTCGGTGTTTTTACCCGGATATCGGGAGGAGCGTACATGGCTGCTTCTCTGCTCACTCTCACCTCGTGGATGGAGCTCTCGCGTCTGCGCTCCACGGCAGAGGCCCACGACAATCTCCTAGTAAGTTCATCATTCTTTAGGAGAAAAGTGAACAGCAGGGATCCTTAACTTAACTCAACATTTAACTAACACTGCTGTCATAACGTAACATAAGACAATGTTCGCTATAGGTTAAGGGTACGGACTTATGAAAGTACTTGCAAAAGTATATCCACACAAATTCGAGACATAAAAAAATATCTTACCCTTTTGAAAAGATGTTAGAAGTTAAGGGTAATAACTTTAACTCTTAAGATAACGTTATGCTGCCCTTATGAGGTAAGTTAAGGATCCCTGGTGAGCAGTGCAAGAAAAGTACAACGCAAGGAGCAAACAACTTGAATTTTGGTGTACATTTCCCTTGAAGTAACGTGAAAGAAGGTGAATTTGAAATAATTGTGTACAAAGTTTGACGAAGTTGTTTGCCACTCGGTACACTAGGAAACGTGGACAGCGAATGGTCCACGCTAGGAAACGTTCTCCCGCTTATTAAGTTTTTTTGGGGCTAATATGACCGAATGGATTGAGAGAGAGAGAGAGAGAGAGCTGAATTTGGTGTGCGGCGAGCCAAGGACATACCTAATGACGGCCAGATCGGCCGAGCCGTTCAGGAGTAGTGTACACACATACACACACACAAACAGACAGACGCACAGACAGACAGACGAAACTTTTCAAACGCACTGGAGTAACGGGCTTCACTATCGCTCAGCCAAAAATGATGCCTCTGATTCCAGGTGTCGGTGAACGCGATGGACCGCACTCACAAAGACCCGTCGCCATCCGACTGGTCCCCCGTGCCGAGTCTCCTCGCGCGCCTGGGCTTGACTTTCCTCCTGGGCTCCACACTCTGCATGTGCAGCGCCTGGGTGGTCATGGGCTTTGGCGCGTCTCATTGGAGCCACCTGCCCGCCTACGTGTACCAGAGCACCGTTGCCCACCTCGTCACCGTTTCACAAGTGTGTGACTTCCTGCGACTGAGGGATGTGGCACGTCGTCTTCTGAACCTCCTGCAGCAGGTTCAGTATGGCAGTAGAACTTTCGGTAAACCAATCATTGATGAACAAGGTAGGTTTACGCCAGACCGCGTCTTGTCGTAACAGGCTTCGCGATGTCTCGCTGCCCGTTCCTCTAATCCGCGCCTGGCGTACCTACCTTGGCCTGCGGCGCTAGCCTGCCGTCGGCAGGCAACGGCTTGTCTGTCCATCGTCGGTTACTTCTAACTTTTTGCATGCTGGGGGGGCAGACTCCCCCCCCCCCTCATTCTAGATTGTGTTGCTTCATATACAGATAACACGATCTTGACCCTTGCAACTTTTTAACTTGTCGAGGCTTGGGGGCTCCGCCCGCCAGGCCCCCCTTTCTTCAAGACAGAAGTGATCTGCCTGCAGAAAACTTGATTTTTTGCCGTTTTAGGTGTTTTACGGCTATAAAAATTGAACCAGTTGCAACTGGTTCAGTAGGGTAGTAAAATTTCAGCCAAGGATATACCTAATGACCCTGCAAAATCTCAGCCGAAACGGCCGAGCCGTTCAGAAGGAGCAGTGTACACACGCACACAGACAGGAAAAGATTTCCAACCCCACTGGAGTAACAGGTTTCGCTATCGCTCAGCCAACAAAGCCTTCCTTTTCTTTGTGTTCCGAAGAGATGTTTCGTGGACACTTTTCGGTACTTCTACGCCTTTTTTCAAGCGTAGTAGAACTACGCTCGGCTTCAAGCGTAGTAGAACTACGCTCGGCTTCAAGCGTAGTTCTCCTTTTCGCCCCTCTCCCGCCTATCTAAATGCATGGGAGGATTTCTTCTCTACGCTTGACGTCAAGCGTAAAGTCTTCTGGCGTAGTTGTATGCTTGAATGAAGCATACAACAACGCTCCAGTTTTACCAGTGTGTTTGCGGTGTTTCTCAGAAAGCTGCCTTAGGTAATCAGTGCCCTCCCTTGACAGGAGGTGTGCCCGGCCGCGGCCCGGGTTCGCGCCTTCCGCCATGCGTGGCTGCTCGTGTACAGGTAGGTTTATTCTACTTTATCTCGAAGGTAATCTGCAGAGGAAGACATGCATGAAGGAGATAAATTCTACGAAGAAATGCTTCGTAAAATCGGGCGTTCGAGCCGGATCTCGCTCATATGGTGTTTCGGCAGTCCGTATGAATGAAAGGAACCTAGAAAAAAAAAGTTTGAGTCCGATCCGAGATGGTTGCCGGCCAAGTGGCTTGTTTTGGTCTGGAACGCCTTCAAAAGGACCACAAAATCGAAAATGCTGCATGCACTCCCGAGGCAAAGTGATGGTCTGAATCTCGTCTGAACGGGATAAGCGTTAAGACTTAGTTTTGTTTAGATTATTTAAGAACAAATTTTGAAGTTGGCATACTTGGAATAAGTAATTCAACCCGTTACCTGAGTCAGGAGACTTGGACTTTGATTGTATTTTGCTAGGGATACCTGCAGGAATTAAAAAATGAAGGGGGTCAGAACCTTACCAGTAACAGAATTCTGTTCACTATCATCGCATGATTTCTCTACAATAGGGATCGCGTCCAGTGACCGCTCGCCCCTGACACTGATGCGGTCCCAGACTGTGACCTGGAAAAATTAATCACTCACGGAACCGAAGAAAATCAACTAAACGAAAATGAAAAAAAAAATTACTTACATGGACGACCATTACGTTTTCAGTGCATTAGAACAATACAATTTACCATTGTACAGGAACGCGTGCCAGCACAGCGTGCTCCCCGTCACGGCCACGGTTCACATGACCGTGCTTTTGTTGCTCTTCACCATCAACGGCTACACTGCCGCTCTGGCCTGCTTGGCGGTTAACAGTGGGCAACGATCAGACTCAGGTACTGTAATGAATGCCGATTTGGATGATATTGTGACTTATGAATCCCTTACGGCGCTTACTAATCACGTAATACTGCGACTTTTCCTGCCCCAAGCTGCAGAAATTAATGTTCGGAATAAACGACGAATCCTCTGGCAAAACACCGAAAATTCCTTTGTTAATTTACGGAGGTTTCGTACAATTACATAAACGTTCGTTAATTTTTTGAAGGACCTCGGTCAATTTTACAATCACAATGGAAATCTACACACTAAATGATCCAGGAAGCGGAAGAAGGGGATAACTCAATTTTGGCCATTTTCCAGGAGAAACCAAAAACTGTTAGCAGGGTAAACTAAAACAAAACAAATGAATGTTGCAGATGTTAATAATTTCAAAAAGCATTAATAAAATTTTGGAAAAAAATCAAAAGGGTAAGGTCACTCCGTAGAGGATTTCTGCGACTTGTCACTTTCCGTTGAAATGGAAAACAGAGTCAGCTCACCTTATATTTCCTAAACAAAGAGGAATTTGGAGACAAGTCAAGTGGAACAATAGTCTGCATAAAGTGTATGTTACTCTGGTGTATTTTTTGGACTTGGCTCTTTTTTCCAAATTGAAATTTAAAATTAAGGGGGGGTTAAGTTGAGTTGATTCTTTTTACACTAGATTCATAAAAATACAAGTTGAGTTATATCCTTTTGCCAATTTGTCAAACGGACTCATGTAGACTTCCGTTGACTTATCTCCATTTTCCAATGAAATTTAGACCGTAAAAGGGGTTAAGTTGAGTTATACCCTTTTTCCTTGTGGATTTTCTCCTAAACTGCTTGGAATTCAGTCAAATAATTTGATGTAATGATGGAAACCATTCTAAGGCACAATAATAAAATAAAAACTCAATTTAGGGATAAGTCAAGTTATTCCCTTCTTCCGCTTCCTGGATCAAATGTCTTATGTAGTTTATTGTCCATAGCTATGGCCGTTTTTGTACATACAGAACTTATGTACAAATTTGTACATAAATTAGGAACAATATTTCCATATTGTGCTTAAGTATGTAAAACATTGTACCTAATTTATGTACAAATTTGTACATAACTTCAGTATGCACAAATACGGCCATAGTTATGGACATAAAGCGACATAAAGTCCATAAGCATTTAGTGTGTACAAAGCACCTTCTTAAGGGGAGGTTCTGGTGAAAATGCTATTTTCTCCTAAATAGGTCCCACTGTGAAAATTTGTTAAAAATTTAATGTCTTATCAAGTATTTATTAAAATTTTTCATTGGGGAGGCACATTCTATGCCCTGAATCCAGTCGCAGAGCCTTTTTCTCCCATTTAGGCTATAACTTTAAAAATCTTCTTGCGCATACTATTTTGTCGTAAAAGGTTGGCTTAGACATTTTTCACTTCTTCGATTCATTTTTTAAAAATGCCGGCATGCCCATCTCAAAATGTCAATTGCATTTTTATTTGCAAGCTTTCTAACCGAGCATTTCACTAAAATTGATCAAAAATGTACAAAATAGACAAATTTTAGGGACTTTTCAGCTTAAAACGCTAATAATTAATAATATAATGGAAGTTTTGAGCTATGCATGCCGGAATCTTTTGAAAATGAGTCGAAGAAGTGAAAAATGTCAAGGTCAACCTTTTACGACAAAATAGTATGCGCAAGGAGATTTTTTAAGATACAGCCAAAATAGGCTCAAAAAGACTCATCGACTGGGTTTACAGCCTGGCATGTGCCTTCAAAAGTCAAATTTTAGTCTCCCCAATGAAAAATTTTATATTCCGAACAAATTATGACTGTAGGATCCATTTGGAAAATGGCAAGATTTTCACCAGAACCTCCCCTTAAATCTGCGAACATCCCCCGTAAATTGACAGGAAATTTTCGTTTGTAAACAAAGATCCTTCGTTGGTATACAAAAAACTTTCGTAATCATATAGGTCTGGAATTAACAACGGATCCTTAGGCAAAAAATAAATCGCCAACGGTTTCTTTGTTAATTTACGCTGGCCTATCGTAGATGGACCGAGTGACCCGACCCCGAGGGGTGAATCACTCAGCGTTTAGGTGTACACATGAGTACGTGAGTACAGGTGAGTACACCTGATTATACTCACAAATTGGGCACATTGTTAACGTATTCACGCCTTTTTGACGTTTTAAACGAAAATTAATACCGATTCCTAGACAAATCAGGTTATTTTCGCTTTTTTTAAATTTGTGAGTACACTGAGTACGGGCAAATGTGTACACATGAGTACACTAGTGATTCACCCCTCGCCCGACCCACAGCATCAACCGGCATCAACCGTGCTACTCTGCAACACTGAGTACTCAGTACACGTAAAGGACACTCTCATCGGTGTTAACTCAGGAGTGTGAGTACACTCACTTGAGTGTACTAATGAGTTCTCGCTGAAGTGAGTGTAATCTTGAGTTCACGCTGAAGAGAGAACTGATGGCACTGTTAAGTTTTGCTGCAGTGTGGCCCCAGGTGTTCATATCTTCATTCGGGGCGATGATCAACGCTCTCAGCATCCTCGCCATCAATGACGCAGCGCATCGCCTGGCCGAGGAGGTCAGTGACAGCGCTGTTCTTTGAATTGCACAAGACTGCCCTTATTTTGTACCATGGTCTGAGGATGGTTCCAAAATTAATGCCGTTAAGAGACAATCGCACAAGGCTGTTTTCGGCCACATTGTACCACCCGCTTAGTTTAATGTTGCAACACTCAAAGTTACCTCGTTCCGGAAATGTTTCAGATCGAGACCCCCTTCCTAGAAATGCTGCAGAGAGACAATTTTGCCTCGAGACTTCACACGGACATCCGGTGCGAGGTGAGGTCACGCGACGCACTAGGATTGCAACAGAGAGAAAATGGTCGAAGAGAAGGTCTTCCTGTTTAACAGAGGCCCGGGTGTTTTCAAGGATTTCGGGCATGGAAGTAAAAAAAAGGTACAAAAATTCTAATGCTAATCGCATTGCAAGGTGTTCCCGTTTTCACATTTGGCTATTTTGAAATAGCCATGTATTGGACCATGCCATGTCAACTGTTCAATAATTATGAGAAAATCCAAAAATTTCGAAGTGCGCATGCGCTAAATTCAAACTAACCAATAGAAAAGAGTTCTGGTCAAGCCTGATTCAGTTAACACCATGACCACCTCACTCCATCTCGCGACTTACAGTGCTCATGTTCGCCAAACGAAAGTCACCCGCGTTCCGAAATCACCTCTCCCGAGTTAATAAAGTTTGTCAAACCAACCATCGTGCTGTTTTTACGTTGTGAGTAAAAGCTGTTCTACAGAATTGAGGAAAACATGACAAGACAACCGCAGCCCTTAAAAGCATGCCAAACAACCAGGGATCCTTAACTTACCTCATAAGGGCAGCATAACGTTATCTTAAGAGTTAAAGTTATTACCCTTAACGTCTAACATCTTTTCAAAAGGGTAAGATATTTTTTTATGTCTCGAATTTGTGTGGATATACTTTTGCAAGTACTTTCATAAGTCCGTACCCTTAACCTATAGCGAACATTGTCTTATGTTACGTTATGACAGCAGTGTTAGTTAAATGTTGAGTTAAGTTAAGGATCCCTGCAAACAACCCAACCTCAGCAACAATTGGGGGGGGGGGGCAGTTGCAATGCGCGCCTACTCGTTTTTTCAGCCTCGCGATTTTCGAAAGGGCGCAGACGACAAGAAAATCGGTGCCAACCCACGAAAATTAATTTGATGCGTCGTTTTTGCTGCGAACTTTTAACTAGTGACAGACTTTAAATATGTTCCTACGACGGGACACCGTGCAATGCGTTAGCATTTTCGAATTTCACGGCGTTTTGATTTCTCTCTATCGGCGACCAAATTTTGACGGGTGGCACGATGGGACCATGCCGTTCCCATGGAGATGTTTTTTTTCATGTTTTAACCATTTGCTCAGAACACACGATTTCTTGTTACTTTGATGAGCCAGGAGGTTTAGTTTCGAGGAGTGGCACATTTTTTATTTGAACCATTTTCGGGGGGGGCACGGACCTCGGACAAGAGGCGTTCTTGGGATGGGAACCCCTAAAAAGAAGGCGCTGACAATGGTCAACACGTCCTGTGATTCTAAGCGCTTAGATCGTCCTATAACTAAGGGCGCGGCTTGTGCATCTAGTATGAACAGAACAGTGGGCCCAAATCTCATGTGCAGGAATAGATTATCACAAGTTGGAGGAAATCAGTGTTTTCTACAAGTGCCTCATGCGTGCGGCGGTAGGGGGCAACTTAACCTCTGCTAACACGTGTGAGGAAGCAAGCGCTCTGACCCATCTAGTGAAAACTTCGTATTACGACAGCAGTGTCTCTGGTGATTCCAACGACCTAGAAGACAGTCGCAATATTGAAGGTATCAGTAATAGTCTCGAGGAAAGTACTAGGAATCTCAAAAGAATGTCGGACAACATCAAAGCAACCTAGCAACACCACTGGTTGTCAATGTGAGTTACTGAAGAAAGAGCTACTGTGTAAAGACTTCAGAATCTATGACCCAAAACGATCTGAAAGAAGCCAGGCTTGAAATTGCCACCAAAGACAAGTGTATCGAGCTCTTGGTCAGAGAATTTAAAGGTGTCTCCCAAGAAGTTAACAACAACCAGCCAATTTAGGATAGGGGTAGGTTGGGGAAGAAAAGTACAAAACGCGTACTTTGCACTGTACAGAAGTTCCAAATGAGGATTCAACTATTCTGCTCTCGTGAACTTGTAATCCAATGCCTTCCTAATGAAATGGATCACTATTCATTGATTATAGTTCCCCACATTACGTACAACATGCTGAAATGTATGTGATTTCGGAACTCCTCGAAAAGGGTAAGAAAAGTACACCGCCGGGAAAGAAAAGTACAACGAAAAGGATTGCAATTTCGAACCAGGAGACCACCAATCTTGGCTCAATACAGGTTAACCCGAGGGGGTATGCACTCGCGTAATAGTCGGTTCACTCTATCTGTAATAGCACGCGTAATAATTCGCGTAATAGTCGCGTAATAGCCGAAATTGTCAAAATTTTATCAATTTTGGTGTGTTTTAGGCCGTTTTTGGCCCGCCCTTCTATTCAAAAAATAGGGGGAGGGCCTATGCATTTGCCTTTGTGTCTGTGTGTTGTTGTTGTTGTTGTTGTTGTTGTTGTCGTTGTTGGCGTCTGTGTACAAGGAAGGAGTTGAGCTAGAGTAACCAGATTTGGAGGGTACTTCAGGAGTACCGTCCAAACAAATAATCCGGTGGTGCAAATCCCGTCCGGGTCGCACAAGGGCTGCTGCAGATGCATCATGGTTTACATGAGCGGGAGGGGGATTTCCGCCATTATTGGTGCTAGCAGGGCACATAGGGGTATTTTTGGAATCGGGGCGACGAGACAAGATGAATGGACCTGGTCCCGACCCCATCGGCCGCTTTTACAAGTTGGCCAGATCAGGATCTTCAAAAAAGGGGGTCGACCGACTAAAAAAATTTATTGCAGATTTCGATTGGTCTCAGCAAGACCTTTTCAACGAGGGGTCGGAAAGGGGGTCCAGGAGCCCGACTTCGTCTATTAGTCACATCAGGATCTTCAAAAAAGGGGGTCGACCGACTAAAAAAATTTATTGCAGATTTCGATTGGTCTCAGCAAGACCTTTTCAACGAGGGGTCGGAAAGGGGGTCCAGGAGCCCGACTTCGTCTATTAGTCACATCAGGATCTTCAAAAAAGGGGGTCGACCGACTAAAAAAATTTATTGCAGATTTCGATTGGTCTCAGCAAGACCTTTTCAACGAGGGGTCGGAAAGGGGGTCCAGGAGCCCGACTTCGTCTATTAGTCACATCAGGATCTTCAAAAAAGGGGGTCGACCGACTAAAAAATTTATTGCAGATTTCGATTGGTCTCAGCAAGACCTTTTCAACGAGGGGTCGGAAAGGGGGTCCAGGAGCCCGACTTCGTCTATTAGTCACATCAGGATCTTCAAAAAAGGGGGTCGACCGACTAAAAAAATTTATTGCAGATTTCGATTGGTCTCAGCAAGACCTCTTCAACGAGGGGTCGGAAGAGGGGTCCACGAGCCCGCCTTCAAGAGTTATGGGAAAAAGTGCGACGGACTCGTTTTGCGCTCCTGCTGTGCCTCTACTGCAAGGAGTTGCAGTAGCATGGCAAATATGGGTATTTTCGAAATGAGGGTGAAGAGACAAATGAAATGGGCATATTCTAAGGACAGTTGGAGTTAAAAGTGTAAGGACTTTTGCATATTGTGAATAGAAGGGCGGGCCTAAGTCACGATGGTACATCGATAACTTTGCTTTACCCGCTCACGGTGTGTGTGATGCGAGCGGGCCGAAGGCCCGGGCCTTCGACTGGCCAAGTTGGGTCTGATGCGAGGGCCGAAGGCCCGAGAAAAGGCCGCCGGCAGGCCAAGCTGGGCCAGCCCCCTGTCGAACCGAGTTGCAGGCGCAGCGAAGCGGAGCTGGCAACTCGGTTCGACGGAAGGGCGGGCCCTAGCTTGTTAGCTAAATTCCGATTAATTTGGGGCGTAATAGAGCGTAATAGCGTAATAGTCGGTACACAGGTTCAGAGAGCGCATACCCCCTCGGGTTAACCCATAAAGTGGAGAGCTTTCACTTGCCATTAGTTCAAGTTTCGTCAAAATCAGTCAATTGGTTCTGATTCTACATGGACTCATCACAGAAGGTCCAAGAAGCCTTTTCTCAGAGATGAGTGGGTACCTTGGTGGGTACAGCATTTTTGTACTTTTCTTCCCCTTTTTACCCAAATGCCCAATAACTAGTTTATTTCGAGTCTAATTTTGTGTTGACATTTTTTGCTTGTCTCACCTAATCAAATCTATTTCCGTGATCAATTCAATTTTCATCCCGCTTTTAGTTTCTAGGGTGTTTTTTCTTCCCCAATGCCTGTACTTTTCTTCCCCAGCCGACTGTACTTTTCTTCCCCATTTCATTTTTACACTTATAAAAAATTGTGTTGAAGTCTAAGAGCATCGATCGGCACTGTTTTTCAAAGATGATGGTCTAAGCTATAAGGTGGTACCTTACAGTGGACTGTCGGCTGATTCTGCAGAAAGCTGTACTTCAAAGTACAAACATTAAAAAAAAAAGATTTTCATAGTTATTTTTAATGTTATTTTCAAACGTGCAGTTTGATTCTAAATATTATGTGTAGAACTGGGCTAAATTTATTTTTTGTCAGCGGGATGATCAATCTTTCTAAAACCAACAACGTGATGGTTCAGTGTAATTTCAGTTCGGAGATTTAACGGGTGTTCTTTTCTTACCTGAGCCTCGAGTGTACTTTTCTTACCTAACCTAAACCCTACAATAGGAGATCAACCTGATAGAGCTGTAGAAGAGCCCTTGGCAAGTGCTACTGATTGCATTACTATGCAAATAGGAGAGATATTAGAGGCTCGCAAAAAGGACCTCCGCACCGAATGACCCCCACCACCACCTAGCACGGCCGCGCGACGCTCTGTTGTTTCTCCCGTTGTCACGCTGACTTCCGGTCTGAATCTTCTCCGAAGTACCCTATTAAGCGATTCAATGCTGTCAATTGAGTGTTACTCGACTGAGGGATTCGCATTGGTGTGGCATCAGGGAATTGGTGACGACAGAGGGTGCTTCATGAAGATAAATAGGCAACAGAAATTGATTCTAAAGAATTGTTTGTAGTTTTCAGTGTACTTGTCACAAAAACTACATTTATTTCAATGGCAATCCTACATTTTCATCCCAAAATTTAACCGATTTTGGGTCAAGTTTTTTTAAATTGAATTGTACATTGATTCTTGCAGTTTTTTAAGCGGTCTTGCTACCGCTTCTAGCTCTGCATACGATCCCACTCATCCCATCCATCCACCCATCCATCCATTCAGCGCGC